TTTATGTGACGTGTGTTTAGGCCTTTAAAGCGCAGTAAGTGTTAATTTTTACCTTGCCACCCATCCACTTGTACGTCCCTCTACCCCTCCACCTCCATCCCTGCATCCCTCGCTCCCACTCTCCCCGCCTCCTCTGATGTGGGAGGATGTGATTCCCCAGTCTAGCTGTGACAGATTCAGTGCTGTTAGTTCTATTGACCCTGCCATTCCCCCACTGCTACCTCCTCCAACCATCCACCCCTCCATTACTCCTCTCCTCTCCTTCTCGCCCCACATCCATTCACTTATGCTGCTAAGCACTAAACCAATGCAGCTGATGGATAACACCACTCCCCCATAGGCCCTCCTCCTCTCCTCCAACTCTCCTGCTCCAAATCAAGAGAGATTCCCTGTACCATCATTCCTCATGCCTTCTCTGTTGCCTTGTTTGAGTTTTTCTGTTGCCTTTCAATTTGATTTTCATCACACCCCCCCTCTCCCCCTCAAGGTTCCTTATATCAGAAGTCCTCTGAATTCAACAAAGACAAGATTGATTTGGGATATCCATGTGAGTTATTGTTTTTATTTATGTATTCATTCTTTTTTTGTTATTTTTTCCAAGACAGACGTTATTGGCGGGATATACGCATAAGGTCTTTACAGCATCTGCATAACAATCATCTGACAACCAGACATTTGCAAACATTGCTCCACTTGCCTTCTTCACAGTTATGTTTTCACAATTGGCCTCAACAAAAGGGATGTCGTGAATTTGCATAAAGACCTTATATATACTCCTGTCAAATAAAGTGTCAACCTTATTTCCCATCACTGCCCTGTGACCTGCCATGCCTCACCCTCCCTCTTTCACTCCTCCTAGCCTCCAGTGGTCGCTGCCTCGCTTTACCTCTCTGTCTCTCTGCTCTCTCTCATACAACATGCCTTGGCTGCCTGACTATCTGTTTTCACCCTGTCTGGCCCTCTTTCCCTAGGCTGGTAGTGCTTTTTTACCATGTTGGTGCTCATTGTCTCTAGGCTGCCAGCCTGCCACTGTCTTACCCCAGTCCACAGAGATCACATCCCAGACTGAGACACAGAGTCCTGCAGAAATATTACACCTCTATGTCTACTCCTCTCTCTCTCTCTCTCTCTCTCTCTCTCTCTCTCTCTCTCTCTCTCTCTCTCTCTCTCTCTCTCTCTCTCTCTCTCTCTCTCTCTCTCTCTCTCTCTCTCTCTCTCTCTCTCTCTCTCTTTATAACTCTCCGGTCTTCACCTCTACGCAGAAAAATAAGTGTTCAATAATCCCTTTCATTTCCATTTCTTGTATTTTTCTCCCTTTCGTGTTCAAAGGGATGTATTAATCTAAGTGATACGTTTTAATACGCACACTTAGTAGGTTGCTGCCTTTATCATCAAAGCGTGGATAGGAGATTGTTCGACGAAGGGGATATATGTTAAATAACTGCAGGGGAGCATGGCAGAGGGAGCGCAGTGAAATTAAATTTTCTGACTTTCATCATTTGGCTCTGGCTGCTTTGAGTGGAAATTAGTGGCCTAACGTATGGATCTAACGAGAATCTGCTGACTTTAACGTGATGTCTATGTTAAGGCCTGCTAGACTGGGGGTGTACTGAGGGCCTCGTAGGGTGAGCTGATTGGGGTTGAAAATGCCTTCGTATGCTATGCATACATTCATAAATCTTCAAGCAAAGTAACATTATCTGTTATTGTATTGTATTGTATTATGTGGTGTGAGTTAATCCTAGTGTTCTCATGGCGTAGTGCAGTTATGTCAAATACATAACCTTCCTAACACTTGATATCTTTTTTTAAATACTTTTTTGGGAGTACTTTTTACCCCTTTTTCTCCCCAATTTCGTGATATCCAATTTGTAGTTACAGTGTTGTCCCATCGCTGCAACTCCCGTACGGCCTTGGGAGAGGCGAAGGTCGAGAGCCATGCCCTCCGAAACACGACCCCGCTTCTTGACACACTGCACGCTTAATCCGAAATCTGTAGTGACCGCTGCACCACTCGGGAGGCACCTAACCCTTGATTTCAATTGTGAATTGGCCACATGAAGCTTAAGTGTTCCCCTTGAAATAGCGTAAGAGCAATTGTTCATTTATCTTCCCTTAGCAAAATTCCCAAACTAGCTCTGTGAGTTTCCTGTCTGATGTGAGGTCAGAGTGGGGGTCAGGACTGCTCTTTCCTGGGACAGGACTGCGTTCAGGAGATTAATGTGTTGGCACACCATCATTGCACTGTGTGTGTGTGAGGGGCAGTGGGCAGCACTACTCTGATCCTGACGCTGATTAGTACCTTTAAACAAATGGCCAACAGGCTGAGGATGATACTAAAACAGAGACTATACTCAACAGCAGACTACATGATACAATGATACTGTAGACAACACTGAAATCCTATATGCTATGACAGAAATGCATAGTGCACATAAATATCATAACAAGAGAAAACGCCTAGAGCACATTATTTCCATTTACCGTACTTTTCCGTTCTCCCACACATCTCCTGTAGCCTAAGTACTCCCTCTTGCCCCCTCATCCTTCCTCCCCCATGTGAAATTAGAAGACACAGATTGAGTACCATCTGCATCACTTAAAGATATCAGGACGCAAATGGTCCAACGTTCATACCAGTTAGTAATTTATGGCTGTGGGGCAGGATCTGTGGTTAATACTGCCATCTACTGGTATACCATTGATCAACACCATTTGGAATAAATTCTTCAATCATATGAAACCATCAATGGCTCTTTTGTCTGAGCCTGTACAATGATGTTCTCTTTTGACTACAGGTAATGTATGGACTCCCATCTATTAGTGTCCATTTGTCCCTGATGACATCACCACACATGGCTAGAAATCCTTTGTTCTTGTTAGGTTTTCAATCAACCTCTTTACTCTCAACCTCTCTTTACGCCCTGTCTGTCTGTTTGTCTGTATTTCTGTCTCTCTCTCTCCTTTCTTTTCCACTCTTTTTTCTCTCTGTCTCTCACTCTCTCTGTCTCTCACTTACTCTCTCTTTCTCTATCCCTCTCCTCTACCTTTCACTGTATTTCTCTCTCTCACACTCCCGCTCACACACACACTTTGCCAGTGGCATTTAGACACCTGTAAAGAAGGCTCTATTTTTCACTTGTCAGTTTCTTGACAGTGAAGGCCATTCTTCACAATTATCAACATTACAAAAGGCTTTGACACTGTTTCACTGTTTCCATCCATCATTAACTGTCCCACTATAATGATGGCTTGTCATTACAGTCTGGGTTCTACACGCAGCCATTAGAACGAACAGGGCCAAACCAGGCCTTAAAATCACTCATTCTCCAGCTGGAAAATGGACAGAAGAAGAAAAGCTCTGGGAGGGAGAGATGAAAGGAGAAATGTGAAACGGGGGTTATTTCTAGATCTTATCAGAGAAACGAGAGAACAAAGCCAGGGATGGGGGGATGGGGAGAGAGAGCTAGAGGAATGTTAGTATATGTGATCCATAAGGGACCTCTGTAATTTACAGCAGACTAACATATATCTTTATGAAGCAGACTTTTGATCCAGGCTAGTTCCAGGCTAGTTCCAGGCTAGAACCAGGCTAGTTCCAGGCTAGTTCCAGGCTAGTTCCAGGCTAGTTCCAGGCTAGTTCCAGGCTAGTTCCAGGCTAGTTCCAGGCTAGTTCCAGGCTAGTTCCAGGCTAGTTCCAGGCTAGTTCCAGGCTAGTTCCAGGCTAGTTCCAGGCTAGTTACAGGCTAGTTCCAGGCTAGTTCCAGGCTAGTTCCAGGCTAGTTCCAGGCTAGTTCCAGGCTAGTTCCAGGCTAGAACCAGGCTAGTTCCAGGCTAGTTCCAGGCTAGCCCATCTGAAATTAGCCCACCCAACTACCTCATCCCCATATTGTTATTTATTTTTGCTCATTTGCACCCCAGTATCTCTATTTGCACATCATCTATTGCACATCTATCAATCCAGTGTTAATACTAAATTGTAATTATTTTGCACTATGGCCTATTTATTGCCTTACCTCCATAACTTGCTACATTTGCACACACTGTATATATATTTTCTGTTGTATTTTTGACTTTATGTTTTGTTTACCCCATATGTAATTCTGTGTTGTTGTTTTTTATCGCACTGCTTTGCTTTATCTTGGCCAGGTCGCAGTTGTAAATGAGAACTTGTTCTCAACTGGCTTACCTGGTTAAATAAAGGTGAAATAAAAAAATTAAAATAGTTCCAGGCTAGTTCATCTGCTTGTTAGAACCTAAGCTTCACAGATGTGGCCTGTACTATTCCTGTACTGTAGTAATCTTGTTATTCAGAGCTAATGGTAATGCATACCAAGGTACGGGGAATGCTTTCATGCATGTCATACAATACCCCCCCACCCCTCTCTCTCGCTCTCTCTGGCTCTCTGTTTCTCTCTCTCTCTCTCGCTCTCTCTGGCTCTCTGTTTCTCTCTCTCTCTCTGTAATGTTGTCTGACAGTGCCACTAATCTGCCCTTCTATTCTACTCTAAACTCCTGGCACATTAAACTATCCTTATCTGGACATTGGACCATCCCAACATTACAGTAGCTTAGTTACAGTACAGGTTTGACATTTCACTATGTCCTTGAACGTTCCAATATATCAAATTCAACCTTTGTGTTATGATATACCTTAATATATCAATAATGACATGGTAATGCACAGTGCATATACTTCAACAACACCCACACGTCTTTTTATGAAGTGCGTATGATGCAAAGGTGTTCTACATAGGGGACCAGAATGAATTCATAGTATGTTGATTAATGTCTGACATGATTAAATACTCAGTCTATGAGCAGGATATTGGGGTGCTGATACTGTCTTTGTTAGGACTGATAACACCACTGCCTATCACATGTGATTAATGGAGTTAATATGTTTGATTACATATCTAAATAGACTTTCCCGCAGAGAGCTTTGAGCACTCTTTCAAAGTCAAATATCTCTCTCTCTCTCTCTCCTTCTCTCCCCCCAGCTGCCCCCAGTACAGATGACGTGGCGCTGTACATTGGCGTCGTCATCGCTGTGATCATGTGTCTGGTCATCTCCGTCATCGTGGCGCTGTTCGTCTACAGGAAGCACCACCGCGACTTTGACTCTGACATCATAGACACCTCGGCCCTCAACGGGGGCTTCCAGCCCGTCAGCATCAAGACGGCTCGAACAGGTGGGTCGGAGGTGTGTCTGTGTCTGTGTGTCTGTGTGTGTGTGTGTGTGTGTGTGTGTGTGTGTGTGAGGGGTGTCCTTTTGTATCAGAATAACAGGTGATAAATAGGTGTTACACAACCTTCCTATCTATCTTTATTCGAGTGTAATTAGATTTGGGCAGGAGAGGATTGGTTTAAATAGCAGCCTGCACCTGGCTGTTAGAAAGAGAGAGAGAAATAGAGAGAAATAGAGAAAGACATTAGTCCACACTAAAGGTGCTGCATTTACCCCTTGTGCCTTGGTGTCATCCCTCATCTACAGTCACAACCACAGCTAGACAGGTTAACACATTGCATGTTGACGAGGACACATCTATAAACAATGTTGATTTAGAATACAAATAGGCTCATTATTCAAACACACCACTAGCTATTTACCATACTGGCTGTATATACATGTTTAGCAACCATTTCTCTTACACTGTGTATGGTAGAGAAGATGAGGAGGAGGAGTGTGTCTGTTACTGTCCCCACCCCGCCCACTCAGCACAAATCATGAATATTCATATGTGTACCTGGTAGGTAAAGTGCTATATAATGAAGCCATCTGTTCCTTATGAAACGCTGTGCTGCGGAGCGATAGTTAAGGCTGGAGCTCTGAGTAACAGGACTTTTCACACTGTTTATGTGTAGAGCTGTAGAGTAAACAAATAACTCAATACAGTTTAGTTTAAGCAGGAGGTAGCTGAAACCAGCCATGTCAACCCACAAAAAAGCTAACCAAAAGCTAAAAAGAAGATGGCCTAAAAAAGTTAGCTGAAGTCTCTTAACAGGTCAATACTGATTGGTCCTGATGGTGTATTGGTCAGGTTTGGTCTGACTGCACCTCTACTTACACGATACAGTAGTCTTACCACTGACATCACCATTGTCCTCTCCTCTCCTGTCCACAGCTGACCTCCTGACGGCGCCCCCTGACCTGACCTCTGCGGCGGCCATGTACCGCGGTCCGGTCTACGCCCTCCACGATGTGGCCGACAAGATCCCCATGACCAACTCCCCCCTCTTGGACCCCCTGCCCAACCTGAAGATCAAGGTGTACAACTCCTCTGGTCTGGTAACCCCTTCAGAGGACCTGTCTGACTTCTCCTCCAAGCTGTCCCCCAAGCTGCCCCACTGCCTGCTGGATGGGGACACCATGGGAAGGAGGACCCAGACCCAGACCCTGCTCCGAACCGGCACCAGGGACCCCTCCTGTACCGCTCTGGGCTCCTTCAACTCCCTGGGGGGGCATCTCATTGTCCCCAACTCAGGTATGGGTCTTTATGGTACAGTCTCAAAGTGGTTGGTCTATACTATTTTATAGGTGTGTTTTAATAAAGTGAAGAAAACAACGCTTTTCTTAAAGCTAGAATGCTTAATTGAAACAATAACAAAGCGAACACCCCACCGCTATTTTGGTAAAAAGCTGAGGGATGGGCCTGGAAAAATGTAACCACTCTCAAATTCATAGACAGAGGTATGGATGCAAGGACTGACCATCCATGATATTACAATTATAGTTTTAAGCATTTTTTGAGGCTATACAGTGTTTACATTTACATTGTTTACAAACATTGGAGTTAAACAAGCTTATATTTTGGGTTATGATTGGGTATGACAGTTGAACTAAGCTCCTGAGGCATTTATAAGTAATATTCTTCAAGAATCAATAGGTATATACAGTATCATCGATTTATAAGTCCAAAAATGGATGTAGCAATTAAGGGTTCTAGCTTTAATACAGCACAGGCCAGGGTCTGTTTAGCCAGATGGAATCTGTGGAGGCAGAATCTCGCTAAGCGGTTAGTCATTTGAAGTCAAGCACTGGAATTAATTGAAGTCAAACTAATTAGTCCTATTCAAAATGAATAAAATGAACTTTAAACTGAATAAGTATTCCGGTAAGGCTGTAAAGGTATTTATAAGAAAAGGTCCCTGCAGATCCATCAGGCTCAGGGGCCTGAGCCATAAGCAATTAACAGACCGCTTTAGCCTCTAGATGGTGATTGGAGCTTTGGTGCTTTCATACGCTGACATTGGTTTGAGGTGCTTTATCAGTGCTCCCTCTACTATAGTTCTATAGAGCAGCTGACAAGGTCCCCTCGTGTTGAGTGTGTTAGAAGGCTGTTTCCTCAAAGTGACTTAGCACGGTGTGTGTAATAACATGATTAATTCCATCCCCCCTTCCCACGCTACGCACCAACGGGAGCGCTAGCATTCCATTCATTCATTATGATCAGGAGATGATGCTGTGATCCTGACACGTCTTCCCCTCTAATTCACCAGGGATCACCCTTATCCTATACACATGGCATGGGGCTAATGCCATACTGAAGCATGACTACCTGGAGAGAGGGAGGGAGAGAGATGGGGTGAGAGAAGGAGAGAGAGCGAGAGAGAGACAGAGAGAGAGGGAGGGAGAGAGAGAGGGGGTGAGAGGAGAGAGCTAAGCGATCAGAGAGACGAGAGAGGAGAGAGAGAGGGAGGGAGAGAGAGAGAGAGGAGAGAGAGAGGAGAGAGGGAGGGGGGGGAGAGAGGAGAGGAGCGAAAGAGAGAGAGGGAGGGAGAGAGAGGGGGGGTGAGAGAAGGAGAGAGAGAGAGAGAGACAGTGAGGGAGGGAGGGAGGGAGAGGGAGAGATATGGTGGTGAGAGAAGGAGAGAGAGGGGGAGGGAGAGGAGGGGGTGGAGAGAGAGGAGGAGTGAGAGAGAGAGAGAGGAGAGAGAGGGGTGAGAGAGAGGGGGAGAGGAGGGGTGAGGAGGGAGAGGGGGGAGAGAGAGGGGTGGAGAGGAGAGAGAGAGAGAGAAGAGAGGAGGGGGAGGGGGGAGAGGGTGAGAGAGAGAGGAGAGGACGAGAGAGAGGAGAGGAGAGAGAGAATGAGGGGGAGAGGAGAGAGAGAGAGACAGACAGAGAGAGGGAGGGAGGGAGAGAGAGAGAGGGAGACAGAGAAGGGGAGAGGAGAGAGAGAGACAGAGAGAGGGAGGGAGAGAGAGACAGAGAGAGAGGGAGGGAGAGGGGGGGTGAGAAAAGTAGAGCGAGAGAGACAGAGAGGGAGGGAGGGAGGAGAGAGGGGGGTGAGAGAAGGAGAGAGAGAGAGGAGATTTGACTTTTGAAAGAGTTCTTAAAGCTCTCCACGGTAAATCAGAGCATGGGTTCTGGGGTTGCCTGTCTGCTCAGAGCACAGAGCATGTGGTGGTACACTTCTGTTCTGTTCTGTTTAAGCTGTAGTACTGCCTACATTATCTGTGCAGTTCCTCACTTGGCACACATGTGGTCTGTTTGGGATGCAGTACAGATGCATGTTGACAGCTGGGAAAAACAGGCAGAAACATTAAAGGATAACAACTTCTAGGGTTTTTTGAGTTTTTCTCTGGAAAACTTGTCTCTGGCTGATGTTAGCTACCTCATCATGTTACTCAGAGAGAAGGAGAGAGAGCGAGAGAGAGAGAGAGAGAGAGAGAGAGAGAGAGAGAGAGAGACAGAGAGGGAGGGAGGGAGAGAGAGGGGGGTGAGAGAAGGAGAGAGAGAGAGAGAGATTTGACTTTGAAAGAGTTCTTAAAGCTCTCCACGGTCAATCAGAGCATGGGTTCTGGGTGCCTGTCTGCTCAGAGCACAGAGCATGTGGTTGGTACACTTCTGTTCTGTTCTGTTTAAGCTGTAGTACTGCCTACATTATCTGTGCAGTTCTCACTTGGCACACATGTGGTCTGTTTGGGATGCAGTACAGATGCATGTTGACAGCTGGGAAAAACAGGCAGAAACATTAAAGGATAACAACTTCTAGGGTTTTTTGAGTTTTGGGACCAAGTGTGCAATTAAATGCAAATTAATTACTTAAAAATCATACAGTGTGATTTTCTGGATTTTTGTTTTAGATTCCGTCTCTCACAGTTGAATTGTACCTATGATAAAAATTATCAGACCTCTACATGCTTTGTAAGTAGGAAAACCTGCAAAATCGGCAGTGTATCAAATACTTGTTCTCCCCACTGTATGTGACAAATGTATGCACTCACTAGCTGTAAGTCGCTCTGGATAAGAGCGTCCGCTAAATGACTAAAATGTAAAATGTAAAAATAAAATTATATTTTATTTTATTTCTGGGGTTCCTGGGGGTAATGGACAGATCTGAGGTCGCTCGCGTTGCTCTCTCGATAGGGGTCTCGAGCGAGAGCGCGGGTGCGAGCGCGCGAGAGCGCTAGCGAGAGCGAGAGAGACGCGGGCGAGCGAGGCGCGCGCGCAGCGCGCGAGAGAGAGAGAGCGATGGGGGAGAGCGAGAGAGCGCGGTCCTATCTCTCTCTCTCTCTCTCTCTCTCTCTATCTCTCTCTATCTCTCTCTCTCTCTCTCTCTCTCTCTCTCTCTCTCTCTCTCTCTCTCTCTCTCTCTCTCTCTCTCTCTCTCACACCTTTTGAAAGGTTCACTACAAGGACATGGGAAATCAATGAGCTATCTGACAAACCCTGGAGAGGGGGGGGGGGGGGGGGGGAAAATCTCCCTGAAAAACAGAGTGAGAAGTAAAGTATTTTGTCTGTTATGAATGTTATGTTATGTGTCGGACCCCAGTAAGGCTAATGGGGATCCTACTAAATCAAATCAAATCAGGACATGAAATCAGACACAGATGGAGAACATTTAAACCACATACATTCATCTCTACCATATAATGTTGTTTGGGTGCATTGTGAGGCAGTATTTAAACCACAGTAAGAGACAGAGGGAAGGGCCAGTGAGTGACATGGCTGTGGTTGTTTTGGCCTCAGGATGTCTCTCCACTGTCTGTCTGTCTATCCGTCTGTCTCTCTATTGTCTCTGTCTGTCCCTCTGTCTGTCTCCCTTTCGGTCTGTCTGTCTGTCTGTCTGTCTGTCTGTCCGTCTGTCTCTCTATTGTCTCTGTCTGTCTGTCTGTCTGTCTGTCTGTCTCTCTTTCAGTCTGTCTGTCCGTCTGTCTCTCTACTGTCTCTGTCTGTCTCTCTGTCTGTCTGTCTGTCTGTCTGTCTGTCTGTCTGTCTGTCTGTCTGTCTGTCTGTCTGTCTGTCTGTCTGTCTCTCTCTCTTTCGGTCTGTCTGTCTCTCTGTCTCTCTGTCTCTCTCTCTGTCTGTCTGTCTGTCTGTCTGTTTGTTTGCCTGGTGCTAGGTAGGGGATAAACACTAAACACAGAATGACAGAGTGAGCATGACAGGGAGGGCTGGAGGTCAGTGCAGGGCTGGACAGACAGAGTGTGTGTGACTGGACTGTGTCTGACTAGTGTGTGACTACAAAGTGTTTGTGACCACAGTGTGTGTGACTAGAGTTTGTGACTAAATTGTTTGTGACCACAGTGTGTGTGACTAGAGTTTGTGACTAAAGCGTTTGTGACCACAGTGTGTGTGACCAGAGTGTGTGTGATCGCGATGTGTCTTGTCTTCACAGGGGTGAGTCTGCTAGTTCCAGCGGGGGCAGTCCCACAGGGTAGAGTGTATGACATGTACGTGACCGTTCACAGGAAGGACAGCATGAGGTAACTACAATCAATGTTTTCCCTTCTGGCTCTGCTGTTTACACCGGTCAGCACACACACCTCCTACAGACACTGTCACAACACGTCTAACCTGGGTGTGTGTGTGTTCCCCCAGGCCCCCAGTCGATGACTGCCAGACAGTGCTGAGTTCAGTGGTGAGCTGTGGCCCCCCAGGGGCCCTCCTGACTCGCCCAGTCATCATCACCATGCACCACTGTGCTGAGGCCGACAGTGATTCAGCCGAGGATTGGCTGATCCAGCTCAAGAGCCAATCACAGCAGGCCCAGTGGGAGGTGAGGGGCATGTTGCTGTGTGTTGCCTGCCAACGTGTGTGGATGTGGAAGATGGTACTGGAAAAGGTGATGCAATACTGGGAAAAAAGACAAGACAAAGTTGGATGGAAAGAACTAAGGCAGAATTATAATGGCTAAATGACATGAGGTAGGATGACCGTGGGGAGTAACAGTAGACAATGGGATAAGCTACTGCATCTCTCATGGCAGGGAGAGTAAAGTAGCCTACATACATACAGCCTGTCTGTCTGTCTGTCTGCCTGTCTATCTGCCTGTCTGCCTGTCTGCCTGCCTGTCTGCCTGTCTGCCTGTCTGCCTGCCTGCCTGCCTGCCTGTCTGCCTGTTTGCCTGTCTGCCTGCCTGCCTGCCTGCCTGCCTGCCTGCCTGCCTGTCTGTCTGTCTGTCTGTCTGTCTGTCTGTCTGTCTGTCTGCCTGCCTGCCTGCCTGCCTGCCTGCCTGCCTGCCTGTCTGTCTGTCTGTCTGTCTGTCTGTCTGTCTGTCTGTCTGTCTGTCTGTCTGCCTGCCTGCCTGCCTGCCTGCCTGTCTGTCTGTCTGTCTGTCCTGTCTGTCTGCCTGTCTGCCTATCTGTCTGTCTGCCTGCCTGCCTGCCTGCCTGTCTGCCTGTCTGCCTATCTGCCTGTCTACCTCGTTGGGACTAACAAAATGTCCCCAGTTGGTCAAATTTCTGTTTGTTTACTATTCTTGTGGGGACTTCTGGTCCCCACAAGAATAGTTAAACACGTCCACACACACGCACACACACAAACACGCACACAAATACACACACACATCCTCACACACACACACATGCATGTGCGCGCACACACACTTACACACATACCCAAACATAATGGTTTAATTAGCAGTAGCAGAAGGCAGATGCAGCTTATGCAAACGCCTCCGCACTATAAACATCTCCTTAGAGCTGGTAAGCATTGTCCCCCCTCCACAACCACCACCACCAACACTAACACCAACACAACCACCACCACCAACACGAAAAAAAACACAACAAAAACCAACAAACCAAAACAAACAAAAACAAACCACACAACACCAAACACGAACACCAACACAACCAACCACCACCAACAAACGAACAACCAAACACAAACCAAACACAACCAACACGAAAAACCCAAACAAAAACACAAAACAACACAAACAACAAAACAACAACACAAAAAAAAACACACAAAAACAAACAAACAAACAACAACCAACAAAACAACAAAACACAAACAAAAAACAAACCACACAAACCAACACAACACCAACACAACAAACAAAAACAACACAACCCCAAACACAACACAACACAAACACAACCAAACGAACACCAACACAAAACAAACACCACCAACAAACGAACACAACACAAACCAACCACCACCAACACAAAACACCAAAACAAACACCAACCACCAAACACGAACACAACAAACACACACCACCAACACGAACACCACCAAAAACCACACCACCAACACAACACCAACCACAACCACACCACCAACAAAACACCAACACAACCACCACCACCAACACTAACACCAACACAACCACACCACCAACAACACAACACCAAACAAACCAAACCACCACCAACACTAACACCAACACAACCACCACCACCAACACTAACACCAACACAACCACCACCACCAACACTAACACCAACACAACCACCACCACCAACACTAACACCAACACAACCACCACCACCAACACTAACACAAAACAAAAAAAAACACAAACCACCACCAAAAACAAAAAAACCACAACACAACACAAACCAAACAACCACACCACCAAACGAACACAAACAAACAACAACCACCAAACACGAACACCAAAAAAACAAACCCACAAACCAAAACACAAAAAAAAAAACACCAAAAGACACCAACACAACACACACCACGAACACCAACACAACACACCACCAACACGAACACCACCACAAAACAAACCAAACCACCACACCACCAACACAACACCAACACAAACACACACACACACCAACACAAAAACACAACAACAACACCAACAACACTAACACCAACACAACACCACCACCACACAACAACACAACCACACACCACCAAACAACAACACACAACACAACCACACACCACACCACTAACACCAACAACAAACACCAACACACACACCAACAACACAAACACACACACAAAACACAACCACCAACCAACAACTAACAACCAAACAAACCACCCACCACCACCAACCCCAACACCAACACAACCACCACCACCAACACTAACACCAACACAACCACCACCACCAACACTAACACCAACACAACCAACACCACACCAACAAACAACAACCCAACACACACACAACCTAACACCAACACAACCAACACCACCAACACTAACACCAACACAACCAACACCACCAACACCACCAACACCACCAGCACCACCACCCCCACCACCTCCACCATCACATACATATAATATCTCTGAAACACACACAAACTCACACTTTCTCAGTTTAATAATACACTCTACCCACAACACTCCTACACACTCACTCTTTCCCTTGCAGTTGAGTCGTGCTGCAGATGAAAGGTGCCTTCTTTCTCCTCAGCTTGGGGTGCTGAATTCTACTCTAATGTGTGAAATATAATACAATTGTCAGTAGTTATTACGCTAAATAAATAACCTATCAATTATTATTTATAATTTGTCCGGAAATCATCTGGTTGTTCATTTTGCTGTCAGATAGACTAGTCACTGGGGCTCTGTAGTATTGACATGTGAAGGGATGTATTTGAGTGTTGGTGTAAAACACTGAAATGATTCCATTCCAGCTAGCTGTCAGAGCAGAGCCTCTGGCCTGGTCATCACTGGCCTGTCAACTCACACACTGATACTCCCATCCCCTCATACACAGCCCTGGCCTGGCTCTATAATCCTTCAGCTGCTTAGCAACAGCCTCTGGCCTCTCATCCCATCAGAGCTGATACAGCCCTACTCTACTACTCAAGGTCTGTGGGTTTCTGTCAGAGTTTCACTAAGATATAGTCCTACAGAAAGCAGTGGGGTGAAGACTAGTTCAGTGATGTGTAGAAGGGTGTTGGAAGGAGAACACTAGTTTCCTAGCTTCCTGTATTATTTCCTAGATTCCTACCTCCCTTCATACATGTCTATAGAAAGCAGTTGGGTTTATTTTAATTGAAGGTTGTATAGAAAACTATTGATAGGATAAACTAGATTCCTGTATTATTTCTTAGATTCCTAGAATTCTAGATTTAGACTTTTGAAAACAGTGGGTTTTAGGGTTTAGGGTTGTGTGTTGGAAAGAGAAACTAGATCCTTGTATATTTTGACCACCTGACCCCTCTGCAGTCAGTGTGGGAGAGAGAGACTGTGAGCGACTCTGAGAGAAATGTGGGTTTGATGTGGTAATGAGAGACTGGTTTGAGTCTTTTTTCAGCCGTTCGTTCTACTGCATCAAAAACAGAAGAACTGCCTGTCCTGAGAGAAGCTTTATTAGATTTGCCTTGGACTCTCTTTGTCAGCTCTGTTGACAGATACTTAGAAACCTTCAGAGTTGCAAGAAGAATATAAAATAAATCTGTAATATACAGTCTTATTGTGGGCTACATACAGAATGTGACTTTGAAGGATTGGCTCTGGGCAGCCAATAAAACAAGATTGCGGAGTGAAAGCATTTAAACAGAGAAATAAGTATTGACTATATCTCAGCCTGTCAGCTATGTGGATGGTAATATCATGAGGTGACGGCTAGTTGCTTTATATGAGCTTATTTTCTCACTGAGCTGAGGCCAACCACACACATAGGACTGGTGATATATTGCGTTTGCTATGACAGAAAACGGTAGCTATCCCTTCTAATTCTCCCAATAGAGAGGGAGGCAGTCAGACAGTCAGGCAGTCATAGTGAGAGAGATTCAGCATCTGGGTAAATAAACTATATATACCAAAGTATGTGGACACCCCTTCAAATTAATGTATAAAACCGAGCACACAGCCATGCAATCTCCATAGACAAACATTGGTAGTAGAATGGCCTTACTGAAAAACTCAGTGACTTTCAACGTAGCACTGTAATTGGATGCCACCTTTCCAAGAAGTCAGTTTGTCAAATTTCTGCCCTGCTAGAGCTGCCCTGGTCAACTGTAAGTGCTGTTATTGTGAAGTGGGAATGTCTAGGAGCAACAACGGCTCAGCCGCGAAGTAGTAGGCCACACAAGCCAAGCTCACAAAACGGGACCGCCGAGTGCTGAAGCGCGTAACGTGTAAAAATGGTCTGTCCTCGGTTGCAACACTGACTACCGAGTTCCAAACTGCATCTGTAAGCAACGTCAGCACAATAACTTTTAGTCTGGAGCTACATTAAATGGGTTTCCATGGCCGAGCAGCCGCACACAAGCCTAAGATCACCATGCGCAATGCCAAGCGTCGGCTGGAGTGGTGTAAAGCTCGCCTCCATTGGACTCTGGAGCAGTGTAAACGCGTTCTCAAATGCTTCATCATCTGGCAGTCCGACGGACAAATCTGGGTTTGGCGGATGCCAGGAGATCTCTACCTGCCCCAATGCATAGTGCCATCTGTAAAGTTTGGTGGAGGAGAAATAATGGTCTGGGACTGTTTTTCATGGTTCGGGCTAGGCCCCTTAGTTCCAGTGAAGGGACATCTTAATTCTACAGCATACAATGACATTCTAAGCAATTCTGTTTCCAACTTTGTGGCAACAGTTTGGGAAAGGCCATTTCCTGTTTCAGCATGACAATGCCCCCATGCACAAAGCGAGGTCCATACAGAAATGGTTTGTCGAGATCGGTGTGGAAGAACATGACTGGCCTGCACAGAGCCCTGACCTCAACCCCATCAAACACCTTGGAATGCCGACTGCGAGCCAGGCCTAATCGCCCAACATCAGTGCCCAACCTCACTAATGCTCTTGTGGTTGAATCGAAGCAAGTCCGCGCAGTAATGTTCCAACATCTAGCGGAAAGCCTTTCCAGAAGAGTGGATGTTGTTATAGCAGCAAAGGGGGGACCAACTCCATATTAATGCCCCTGATTTTGGAATGAGATGTTGGACGAGCCATGTAGTGAATGATATTACCATCATCCAGTGTGAATAACATATCTCATTAGATATGTCCAGCACAGGGAGCTGTTAGAGGAAAGGGTGTGTGTGTGTGTGTGTGTGTGTGAAAGCACAGCAGGAGTCTTGTGGGTGGGTGAATAGGTGGGTGCATGCGCGTGCATGGGCGCATGTGTGCGTGCAAGTGTATGTGTGTGTTTGTGTGTGTGTGTGTGTGTGTGTGTGTGTGTGTGTAGATAAAGATAGCAGAGTGTTATGAGTAACAGGTGGTCTCTCTGCCTCAGTAAGTCTCTCCTCACTGAGTCTTTATGCACAAGTCTCTGTCACCACGCCATGATTGATGATGGAATATGGTGGAAAAGCCTTTGTGTGTGTCTGAAGGGCAGAATGTTGGCTGTGATGAATTGAGTGAGGAATTGAGTAAATAAATCACTTTCCTGTGCCTGTAAGTGTGTGTGTGTGTGTGTGTGTGTGTGTGTGTGTGTGTGTGTGTGTGTGTGTGTGTGTGTGTGTTTACGCACACATGCTCGTGTGTGTCAAATCAAAATCAAATCAACATTTATTGGTCGCGTACACAGGTTTGCAGGTGTTATAGCAGGTGCAGCTAAATGCTTATGCTACTAGCTCCAACAGTGAAGTAGAATGTCTATCAAATACAATACAAATACACAAATAATAAAACAATCCAAACAAGAAATCAAGAAACGACAGACCTGGTCAAATTAACAACCCAGAGTAGATATATTAGAGTGAGAATGTGTCACAATCTAGAATAGAAATATATGATGTGTATAGACAGTATATCATTTGGAAATACAGTAGTAGGTCTATTAGGATGGGCTGTGTGGAGAATAAACAACAGTATAAACTGTAAACACTGTAAGTGGCTGTGTGTGTGTGTGTGTTTATGTGTGTTTGTGTGTGTGTGTCCCAGTTTTCCACTCTATATTGTAATTATCCCCCCAGTGTGGAACACTCATAATAAACCCCACGACCAGTTAAAGAGCTTAATGACCAGCTATAATACTGCTGTTAAACGGCCTGGCTCCATAGAAAATACCGTCACACACGCACACACACACTATGAAATACTGTCATTCCTCTTCTGTCTATCTGTCTCTCACAATGGGCTGAATGGATGCCAGGCGGTGTGCTGCTCATAGGTGCGTCAGGATAAAGATCCCAGCAGGAGCCTCTTAGACCCAGACACCAGTAATGAAACAGGAATATGCTCTGAAATGATCCCTCGAGCGCTGACACCGTGGTCAACTAGGAGAGGGACATTATGCTATTACCTTATACATGTTGGTCTATTGTTACAGACATTATATGTTTACACACGTATGTAGGCAGGCACTTGCATACGGATACAAACACACAAGCACACACACACACACACACACACACACACACACACACACACACACACACACACACACACACACACACACACACACACTCTCATTCTCGCTCTCTCTCTAGGAGGTGGTGGTGGTAGGAGAGGAGAACTTCACCACTCCCTGTTACATCCAGATGGATGAGGAGGCATGTCACATCCTGACAGAGACCCTAGGGACCTACTGCCTGGTGGGCCAGTCCTGCAGCGCGGCCACCACCAAGAGACTCAAACTGGCCATCTTCGGCCCCGTCACCTGCCCTGCCCTGGAGTACCACATTAGAGTCTACTGCCTTGACGACACACAGGACTCACTCAAAGTAAGTGTGGGTGTGTACAAGTAGCCAGCAGATGCAGTGTGGGAAGGAGGCAGGCAGGCAGGCAAGCAGTGGGGGCTGTGTTTGTGTGCAGTAACAAGGGAAGATGAGCGCATGCATTTGAATATAATCTCCACGGCCAAGCTGCTCCTAGAGAAATTATGCCGTGCCCTCGCAAATATTAACCATATTTAGTATTTATTCTACCCCATCCTCCACCACTTTCCTCCCCCCCCATCACCTCCATCCACCTTCAGTGAAGAAAGATAAGGTCTCATTATTACGTTTAGGAGGAGAATAGGACCCAGTTATTACGTTTGGGAATGAGTAATGAGATTAAGAATGATCACGTTGAATGTAGATGTGAATGTCACATTTTGTGTATGTTTATAGATGGGTTATTACATGGTTGGTACATAATGCCTGCTGAAATTATGTTGAAAGCCTGATTTGGAAAGCAAACACTTCTTATAGGAAGTTCCAACACAGAATTCTGATAAATGAGTAGATGGTGATTGATTCCAGAGTCATATCTCAACTTGTGTCTCTGTCGCTGTGTGTCTGTCTCTGTGTGTCTGTCTCGGTGTGTCTGTCTCTGTGTGTCTGTAGGAGGTCCTGCAGATGGAGAAACAGATGGGAGGGAAACTCCTGGACGAACCAAAGACCCTCAACTTCAAGGACAGCACCCACAACCTGCGACTGTCCATCCACGATGTCCCACACACACTGTGGAAGAGCAAGCTACTAGCCAAGTACCAGGTACACACACACACACACACACACACACACACGTAATGTAAAGACACACACAAACACCCTTGGTGCCAGTATAACCCCCCTCTCCCCAGGAGTTGTCGTTCCAGCAGGTGTGGTCTGGGTCCCAGAGGAATCTCCACTGTACCTTCACCCTGGAGAGGTTCTGTCCCAGCACCGTGGACCTGGCCTGTAAGCTGTGTGTTCGACAGGTGGAGGGGGAGGGACAGATCTTCCAGCTCGACACCACCCTCTCAGAGGTAGGGAAATAGTATTGTATCCAGATACAGTACATACATATAGTGTACTAATGAACATATCAGACCTGGGTTACAAAGTGCGATTCAAATTGATTTAATTGGCATTTTTTGTCAGCGATCTACACAAAATACTCTGTAATGTTAAAGTGGAAGAAAAATTCTAACATTTGTAAAAACAATATGACAAATAAAACACAAATATATCTTGATTAGATAAGTATTCAACCCCCTGAGTCAAAACATGTTAGACTCACCTTTGGCAGTGATTACAGCTGTGAGTCTTTCTGGGTAAGTCTCTAAGAGCTTTGTACACCTGGATTGTACAATATTTGCACATTATTCTTCAAACAATTCTTCAAGCTCTGTCAAGTTGGTTGTTGATCATTGCTAGACAGCCATTTTCAAGTCTTGCCATAGATTTTCAAGCCGATTTAAGTCAAAACTGTAACTAGGTCACTCGGGAACATTCAATGTCGTCATGGTAAGCAACTCCAGTGTATATTTGGCTTTGTGTTTAAGGTTAATGCTGAAAGGTGAAATTGTCTCCCAGTGTCTGTTGGAAAGCAGACTGAACCAGGTTTTCTTCTAGGATTTTGCCTGTGCTTAGCTCTATTCCGTTTCTTTTTATCCTAAAAAAACACCCTAGTCCTTGCTGTTGACAAGCATACCCATAACATGATGCAGCCACCACCATGTTTAAAAATATGAAGAGTGGTACTCAGTGATGTTGTGTTGGATTTGCCCCAAACATTACGCTTTGTATTCAGGACATAAAGTTCATTTCTATGCCACATTCTTTGCAGAATTACTTTAGTGCCTTATTGCAAACAGGATACATATTTTGGAATATTTTTATTCTGTACAGGCTTCCTTCTTTTCACTATGTCATTTAGGTTAGTATTGTGGAGTTTTCTCCTATCACAGCCATTACACTCTGTAACTGTTTTAAAGTCACCATTGGCCTCATGGTGAAATCCCTGAGCGGTTTCCTTCCTCTACGGCAACTGAGTTAGGAAGGACACCTGTATCTCTGTAGTTACTGGGTGTATTGATACACCATCCAAAGTGTAATGAATAACTTTACAACGCTCAATGGGATATTATATTTTTAACCATCTACCAATATATGCCCTTCTTCGCGAGGCATTGGAAAACCTTCTTGGTCTTTGTGGTAGAATCTGTGTTTGAAATTCACTGCTCGACTGAAGGACCTTACAGATAATTGTATGTGTGGGGTACAGAGATGAGGTTGTCATTCAAAAATCATGTTAAACACTATTATTGCACACAAAGTGAGTCCATGCAACTTATAATGTGATTTGTTAAGCACATTTTGACTCCTGAACTTATTTAGGCTTGCCATAACAAAGGGGTTGAATACTTACTGACTCAATTTGTAATTAATTTGTAAACATTCTAAAAGCCTAATTCCACTTTGACATTATGGGGTATTGTGTGTAGGCCGGTGACACAAAATCTAAATTGAATTAATTTCAAATTCAGGCTGTAACACAACGAAATGTGGAAAATGTCAAGGGGTGTGAAAACTTTCTGAAGGCACTGTATATGCTGAATCATGCGTACATGCACAGACAAATCAGACTAACTTGATTTAGTCTAACTGACTTACTGCTAACTTGAGTTGAGGCTGGTGTTATATCATATATTCCTATCTTTTTCCATGTCTTTGTCCATCCTGGTTGTCAGGGGTTGAGTGAGAGTTTAGCCTTCTGTCAGTGAACTACTTTACTCAGACAGTGAGCCTTGAGCCCGCTGCACTCGCTGCCCTCTCTGTGAGAGCTTGTCTGTTATTACTTTTTTATTTTTCATAGCTTCACATAGAGCACAGCTCTAAGGGAGTAATCACTCCAATCTCACGCTGACAACCCCCTCACAAAGAGAATGGTTGAGTAAGAGATAATTGGAACAGAGATTGTACAGGGAAGAGTGGATAGAGTGCTTTGCTCTAACCCTGGTCTTACCTTTCTATCTGACTAGAGGCTAGTCGTAGCTCCTGTTCTCTGAGTGTGTCTAGACCTTTCTATCTGACTAGAGGCTAGTCGTAGCTCCTGTTCTCTGAGCGTGTCTAGACCTTTCTATCTGACTAGAGTCTAGTCGTAGCTCCTGTTCTCTCTGAGCGTGTCTAGACCTTTCTATCTGACTAGAGGCTAGTCGTAGCTCCTGTTCTCTGAGTGTGTCTAGACCTTTCTATCTGACTAGAGGCTAGTCGTAGCTTCTGTTCTCTGAGTGTGTCTAGACCTTTCTATCTGACTAGAGGCTAGTCGTAGCTCCTGTTCTCTGAGCGTGTCTAGACCTTTCTATCTGACTAGAGGCTAGTCGTAGCTCCTGTTCTCTGAGCGTGTCTAGACCTTTCTATCTGACTAGAGGCTAGTCGTAGCTCCTGTTCTCTGAGTGTGTCTAGACCTTTCTATCTGACTAGAGGCTAGTCGTAGCTCCTGTTCTCTGAGTGTGTCTAGACCTTTCTATCTGACTAGAGGCTAGTCGTAGCTCCTGTTCTCTGAGCGTGTCTAGACCTTTCTATCTGACTAGAGGCTAGTCGTAGCTCCTGTTCTCTGAGCGTGTCTAGACCTTTCTATCTGACTAGAGGCTAGTCGTAGCTCCTGTTCTCTGAGCGTGTCTAGACCTTTCTATCTGACTAGAGGCTAGTCGTAGCTCCTGTTCTCTGAGTGTGTCTAGACCTTTCTATCTGACTAGAGGCTAGTCGTAGCTCCTGTTCTCTGAGTGTGTCTAGACCTTTCTATCTGACTAGAGGCTAGTCGTAGCTTCTGTTCTCTGAGCGTGTCTAGACCTTTCTATCTGACTAGAGGCTAGTCGTAGCTCCTGTTCTCTGAGTGTGTCTAGACCTTTCTATCTGACTAGAGGCTAGTCGTAGCTTCTGTTCTCTGAGTGTGTCTAGACCTTTCTATCTGACTAGAGGCTAGTCGTAGGTCCTGTTCTCTGAGCGTGTCGAGACCTTTCTATCTGACTAGAGGCTAGTCGTAGCTTCTGTTCTCTGAGTGTGTCTAGACCTTTCTATCTGACTAGAGGCTAGTCGTAGCTCCTGTTCTCTGAGCGTGTCTAGACCTTTCTATCTGACTAGAGGCTAGTCGTAGCTCCTGTTCTCTGAGCGTGTCTAGACCTTTCTATCTGACTAGAGGCTAGTCGTAGCTCCTGTTCTCTGAGCGTTGGTCTAGACCTTTCTATCTGACTAGAGGCTAGTCGTAGGTCCTGTTCTCTGAGCGTGTCTGAGACCTTTCTATCTGACTAGAGGCTAGTCGTTAGCTCCTGTTCTCTGAGCGTGTCTAGACCTTTCTATCTGACTAGAGGCTAGTCGTAGCTCCTGTTCTCTCTGAGCGTGTCTAGACCTTTCTATCTGACTAGAGGCTAGTCGTAGCTCCTGTTCTCTGAGCGTTGTCTAGACCTTTCTATCTGACTAGAGGCTAGTCGTAGCTCCTGTTCTCTCTGAGCGTGTACTAGACCTTTCTATCTGACTAGAGGCTAGTCGTAGCTCCTGTTCTCTGAGCGTGTCTAGACCTTTCTATCTGACTAGAGGCTAGTCGTAGCTCCTGTTCTCTGAGCGTGTCTAGACCTTTCTATCTGACTAGAGGCTAGTCGTAGCTCCTGTTTCTCTGAGCGTGTCTAGACCTTTCTATCTGACTAGAGGCTAGTCGTAGCTCCTGTTCTCTGAGTGTGTCTAGACCTTTCTATCTGACTAGAGGCTAGTCGTAGCTTCTGTTCTCTGAGCGTGTCTAGACCTTTCTATCTGACTAGAGGCTAGTCGTAGCTCCTGTTCTCTGAGCGTGTCTAGACCTTTCTATCTGACTAGAGGCTAGTCGTAGCTCCTGTTCTCTCTGAGCGTGTCTAGACCTTTCTATCTGACTAGAGGCTAGTCGTAGCTCCTGTTCTCTGAGCGTGTCTAGACCTTTCTATCTGACTAGAGGCTAGTCGTAGCTCCTGTTCTCTGAGCGTGTCTAGACCTTTCTATCTGACTAGAGGCTAGTCGTAGCTCCTGTTCTCTGAGCGTGTCTAGACCTTTCTATCTGACTAGAGGCTAGTCGTAGCTCCTGTTCTCTGAGCGTGTCTAGACCTTTCTATCTGACTAGAGTCTAGTCGTAGCTCCTGTTCTCTGAGCGTGTCTAGACCTTCTATCTGACTAGAGGCTAGTCGTAGCTCCTGTTCTCTGAGCGTGTCTAGACCTTTCTATCTGACTAGAGGCTAGTCGTTAGCTCCTGTTCTCGAGCGTGTCTAGACCTTTCTATCTGACTAGAGGCTAGTCGTAGCTCCTGTTCTCTGAGCGTGTCTAGACCTTTCTATCTGACTAGAGGCTAGTCGTAGCTCCTGTTTCTCTGAGCGTGTCTAGACCTTTCTATCTGACTAGAGGCTAGTCGTAGCTCCTGTTCTCTGAGCGTGTCTAGACCTTTCTATCTGACTAGAGGCTAGTCGTTAGCTCCTGTTCTCTCTGAGTGTGTCTAGACCTTTCTATCTGACTAGAGGCTAGTCGTAGCTCCTGTTCTCTCTGAGTGTGTCTAGACCTTTCTATCTGACTAGAGGCTAGTCGTAGCTCCTGTTCTCTCTGAGCGTGTCTAGACCTTTCTATCTGACTAGAGGCTAGTGGTAGCTCCTGTTCTCTGAGCGTGTCTAGACCTTTCTATCTGACTAGAGGCTAGTCGTAGCTCCTGTTCTCTCTGAGCGTGTCTAGACCTTCTATCTGACTAGAGGCTAGTCGTAGCTCCTGTTCTCTGAGCGTGTCTAGACCTTTCTATCTGACTAGAGGCTAGTCGTAGCTCCGTTCTCTCTGAGCGTGTCTAGACCTTTCTATCTGACTAGAGGCTAGTCGTAGCTCCTGTTCTCTCTGAGCGTGTCTAGACCTTTCTATCTGACTAGAGGCTAGTCGTAGCTCCTGTTCTCTGAGCGTGTCTAGACCTTTCTATCTGACTAGAGGCTAGTCCGTAGCTCCTGTCTCTCTGAGCGTGTCTAGACCTTTCTATCTGACTAGAGGCTAGTCGTAGCTCCTGTTCTCTTGAGCGTGTCTAGACCTTCTTATCTGACTAAGGCTAGTCGTAGCTCCTGTTCTCTGAGCGTGTCTAGACCTTTCTATCTGACTAGAGGCTAGTCGTAGCTCCTGTTCTCTCTGAGCGTGTCTAGACCTTTCTATCTGACTAGAGGCTAGTCGTAGCTCCTGTTCTCTCTGAGCGTGTCTAGACCTTTCTATCTGACTAGAGGCTAGTCGTAGCTCCTGTTCTCTGAGCGTGTCTAGACCTTTCTATCTGACTAGAGGCTAGTCGTAGCTCCTGTTCTCTGAGCGTGTCTAGACCTTTCTATCTGACTAGAGGCTAGTCGTAGCTCCTGTTCTCTGAGCGTGTCTAGACCTTTCTATCTGACTAGAGGCTAGTCGTAGCTCCTGTTCTCTCTGAGCGTGTCTAGACCTTTCTATCTGACTAGAGGCTAGTCGTAGCTCCTGTTCTCTCTGAGCGTGTCTAGACCTTTCTATCTGACTAGAGGCTAGTCGTAGCTCCTGTTCTCTGAGCGTGTCTAGACCTTTCTATCTGACTAGAGGCTAGTCGTAGCTCCTGTTCTCTCTGAGCGTGTCTAGACCTTTCTATCTGACTAGAGGCTAGTCGTAGCTCCTGTTCTCTCTGAGCGTGTCTAGACCTTTCTATCTGACTAGAGGCTAGTCGTAGCTCCTGTTCTCTGAGCGTGTCTAGACCTTTCTATCTGACTAGAGGCTAGTCGTAGCTCCTGTTCTCTGAGCGTGTCTAGACCTTTCTATCTGACTAGAGGCTAGTCGTAGCTCCTGTTCTCTGAGCGTGTCTAGACCTTTCTATCTGACTAGAGGCTAGTCGTAGCTCCTGTTCTCTGAGCGTGTCTAGACCTTTCTATCTGACTAGAGGCTAGTCGTAGCTCCTGTTCTCTGAGCGTGTCTAGACCTTTCTATCTGACTAGAGGCTAGTCGTAGCTCCTGTTCTCTGAGTGTGTCTAGACCTTTCTATCTGACTAGAGGCTAGTCGTAGCTCCTGTTCTCTGAGCGTGTCTAGACCTTTCTATCTGACTAGAGGCTAGTCGTAGCTCCTGTTCTCTGAGCGTGTCTAGACCTTTCTATCTGACTAGAGGCTAGTCGTAGCTCCTGTTCTCTCTGAGCGTGTCTAGACCTTTCTATCTGACTAGAGGCTAGTCGTTAGCATTCCTTTCATCTGAGCGTTTGTCTTAGACCTTTCTATCTGGACTAGAGGCAGGTCGTAGCTCCTGCTTCTTCTGAGTGTTGTCTAGACCTTTTCTATCTGACTAGGGCTAGTCGTTAGCTAATCCGGTTCTCTGAGCGTGTCTCGACCTTTCTATCTGGACTAGAGGCTAGTCGTAGCTCCTGTTCTCTGAGGGTGTCTAGACCTTTCTATCTGACTAGAGGCTAGTCGTAGCTCCTGTTCGTCCTGAGCGTGTTCTAGACCTTCTATCGGACTAGAGGCTAGTCGTAGCTTCCTGTTCTCTCTGAGCCGTGTCTAGACCTTCTATTCTGACTAGAGGCTAGTCGTAGCTCCTGTTCTCTGAGCGTGTCTAGACCTTTTCTATCTGACTAGAGGCTAGTCGTAGCTCCTGTTCTCTGAGTGTGTCTAGACCTTTCTATCTGACTAGAGGCTAGTCGTAGCTCCTGTTCTCTGAGCGTGTCGAGACCTTTCTATCTGTCTGGAAAAATTGTATGAATACATGCACTAATTTGAATGAGAACTTGTAACACTAGCTCCAACAATCAGCTCCCAAATAATAATTTCAGTCAATTCAAATAGTCTCTCTCCGCCATCTCCATTCTCCACCTCCAGGACACCCAGAGTATCGATACGTCTCTGCTGGATCCGGCCAGTAACATCACAACCCTGGTGGGGCCCAATGCCTTCCGCATTCCCATCTCCATCAGACAGAAGCTCTGTGGCAGCCTGGACGCACCACAGAATCGAGGCAACGACTGGAGGATGCTAGCACACAAACTCAACCTGGACAGGTGAGGATGGGATTTGTATTTGTATTTTTATTTATTAAGAATCCCCATTACTCTTCCTGGGGTCCTGCAACATTAAGGCAGTTACATTATATTTCATAACACTTTACCCAATACATTTAGTGTGTTCCCTCAGGCCACTACTCCACTATCACATATTTACAATACAACATCTATGTGTACGTGTGTGTAGAGTGAGTGTCTATATGTATGTGTGTATGTGTATGTGCCTGTGTGTGTGTCTCTTCACAGTCCCCGCTGTTCCAAAAGGTGTATTTTTACCTGTTTTTTAAATCTGATTCTACTGCTTGCATCAGTTACCTGATGTGGAATAGAGTGTAGAATGGGTCTATGTAGTACTATGTGCCTCCCATAGTCCGTTCTGGACTTGGGGACTGTGAAGAGACCTCTGGTGGCATGATTTGTGGGGTATGCATGGCTATGTGCCAGTATTCCAAACAGACAGCTCGGTACATTCAGCTCGTCGACACCTCTCACAAAAACAAGCAGTGATGAAGTCAATCTCTCTTCCACTCTGAGCCAGGAGAGACTGACATGCATGTCATCAATCTTAACTCTCCGTGTACTTTTAAGGGCCAGCCGTGTTGCCCTGTTCTGAGCCAACTGCAATATTCCCAAGTCCCTCTTTGTGGCACCTGACCACACTACTGAACAGTAATCTAAGTGCGACAAAACTAGGTCCTGTAGGACCTGCCTTGATGATAGTGTTGTTAAGAAGTCAGAGCAGCGCTTAATTATGGACATACTTCTCCCCATCTTAGCTACTGTTGTATCAATATGCTTTGACCATGACAGTCTACAATCCAGGGTTACTCCAAACAGTTTAGTCACCTCAACTTGCTCAATTTCCACATTATTCATTACGAGATGTAGTTGAGGTTTAGGATTTAGTGAATGATTTGACCCATATACAATGCTTTTAGTATTGGAAATATTCAGGACTAACTTATTCCTTGCCACCCATTCCGAAACTAACTGCAACTCTTTGTTAAGTGTTGCAGTTATTTCAGTTGCTGTAGTAGCTGATGTGTATAGTGTTGAGTCATCCGCATACATAGACACACTGGCATTACTCAAAGCCAGTGGCATGTCGTTAGTAAAGATGGAAAAAAGCAAGGGGCCTAGACAGCTGCCCTGGGGAATTCCTGATTGTACCTGGATTACGTTTGAGAGGCTTCCATTAAAGGACACCCTCTGTGTTCTGTTAGACAAGTAACTCTTTATCCACATTATAGCAGGGGTTGTAAAGCCATAACACGTACGTTTTTCTAGCAGCAGACTATGATCGATAATGTCAAAAGTCGCACTGAAGTCTAACAAAACAGCCCCCACAATCTTTTTATCAATTTCTCTCAGCCAATCATCAGTCATTTGTGTAAGTGCTGTGCTTGTTGAATGTCCTTTTCTATAAGCATGCTGAAAGTCTGTTGTCAATTTGTTTACAGTAAAATAGCATTGTATCTGGTCAAACACAATTTTTTCCAATAGTTTACTAAGGGTTGGTAACAGGCTAATTGGTCGGCTGTTTGAGCCAGTAAAAGGGGCTTTACTATTCTTAGGTAGCGGAATGACTTTTGCTTCCCTCCAAGCCTGGGGGCACATTCTAGTAGGCTTAAATTGAAAATATGGCAAATAGGAGTGGCAATATCATCCGCTATTATCCTCAGCAATTTTCCATCCAAGTTGTCAGACCCCGGTGGCTTGTCATTGTTAATAGACAACAATCATTTGTTCACCTCTTCCACACTCACTTTACGGAATTCAAAATGAAAATGATTGTCTTTCATAATTTGGTCAGATATACTAGGATGTGTAGTGTCAGCAATTGTTGCTGGCATGTCATGCCTACGTTTGCTAATCTTGCCAATCAAAAAATGATTAAAGTAGTTGGCAATATCAGTTGGTTTTGTGATGAATGAGCCATCTGATTCAATGAATGATGGAGCTGAGTTTGCCTTTTTTCCCAAAATTTCATTTAAGGTGCTCCAAAGCTTTTTACTATCATTCTTTATGTTATTTATCCTTGTTTCATAGTGTTGTTTCTTCTTTTTTGTATTCAGTTTAGTCACATGATTTCTCAATTTGCAATACGTTTGCCAATTGGTTGTGCAGCCAGACTTATTTGCCATTCCTTTTGCCTCATCCCTCTCAACCATACAATTTTTCAATTCCTCATCAATCCACGGGGATTTAACCGTTTTTAGTCATTTTCTTAATGGGTGCATGCTTATTAGTAACTGGAATAAGCAATTTCATAAATGTGTCAAGTGCAGTGTCTGTTTGCTCCTCATTACACACCACGGACCAACATACAGTCTCCTGAGTGGCGCAGTGGTCTAAGGCACTGTATCGCAGTGCTAACTGTGCCACTAGAGATCCTGGTTCGAATCCAGGCTCTGTCGCAGCCGGCTGTGACCGGGAGACGCATGGGCGGCGCACAATTGGTCCAGGGTAGGGGAGGGAATGGCCGGCAGGGATGTAGCTCAGTTGATATGGCATTTGCAATGCCAGGGTTGTGGGTTCGATTCCCACGGGGGGCCAGTATTTAAAAAAAAATGTATTCACTAACTGTAAGTCGCTCTGGATAAGAGCGTCTGCTAAATGACTAAAATGTAAAAATATATTATTTACATCAACAACATAGGAATCACTACAAAACTTATTGTATGACCTCTTATACATTATATTAGGCCCAGCCTTTGGAACTTTGGTTTTCCTAGATATGGCCACTATATTGTGATCACTACATCTAATGGATTTGGAGACTGCTTTCAAACAAATCTCTGCTGGATTAGTAAAGATATGATCAATACATGTTGATGATTTAATTCCTGTACTGTTTGTAACCACCCTGGTAGGTTGACTGATAACCTGAACCAGGTTGCAGGCACTGGTTACAGTTTGAAGCTTTCTCTTGAGTGGGCAGCCTGATGAAAGCCAGTCAATATTTAAATCACCCAGAAAGTATACCTCTCTATTATCATTTTACATGTACATTTTAGTCATTTAGCAGACGCTCTTATCCAGAGCGACTTACAGTTAGTGAATACATTTTTTATTTTTTCATACCCCGTGATATCACATACACTACCATTCAAAAGTTTGGGATCACTTCGAAATGTCCTTGTTTTCGAAAGAAAAGCAATTTTTTTGTCCATTAAAATAACATCAAATTGATCAGAAATACAGTGTAGACATTGTTAATGTTGTAAATGGATATTGTAGCTTGAAACGGCAGATTTTTAATGGAATATCTACATAGGCGTACAGAGGCCCATTATCAGCAACCATAAGTCCTGTGTTCCAATGGCACGTTGTGTTTGCTAATCCAAGTTCATCATTTTAAAAGACTAATTGATCATTAGAAAACCCTTTTGCAATTATGTTAGCACAGCTGAAAACTGTTGTGCTGATTAAAGAAGCAATAAAACTGGCCTTCTTGAGACTAGTTGAGAAATTGCCAAGAAACTGAAGATCTCGTACAACGCTGTGTACTACTCCCTTCACAGAACAGCGCAAACTGGCTCTAACCAGAATAGAAAGAGGAGTGGGAGGCCCCAGTGCACAACTGAGCAAGAGGACAAATACATTAGAGTGTCTAGAAACAGGCGCCTCACAGGTCCTCAACTGGCAGCTTCATTAAATAGTACCCACAAAACACCAGTCTCAACGTCAACAGTGAAGAGGCGACTCCGGGACTCTGACCTTCTAGGCAGGGTTGCAAAGAAAAAGCCATATCTCAGACTGGCCAATAAAATGAAAAGATTAAGATGGGCAACCTCCAACATCGGCATTTCTATCTTTTCTGTAAATGTTATAACCTTGTATTCCTACCACTGTATCATCAAAGGTATTATCTAAGTGAGTTTCAGAGAATATGAATGTCATCTGTTACTAGCAAATTATTGATTTCATGAACCTTGTTTCTTAAGCTTCATATGTTAACGTGGGCTATTTTGAGCACTTCTGGGATGCTTACTTGTTTTTATTGCTTTACTGGGAAGCTTAGCAGCAGTAGACTCATGTTCTTTATGTTAGTGCGCAGTGAGCTGCCTCCTCTAGGACACACTGGCTCAGCGCTAACAGTATAAATCTGGTTCTTAGGCACATGATTACTGCATACAATACCTGTAGGATCAGCGGTGGCAGTAAGAGGGACATAAATTAGGTTACTTATATTGTGACTACCGACGCCCCTGATGTAATGTACATTTGCTGAAGCATTTTGACAACTCTGCATCACAATGGTAGGGATTAGCTGAGCTGGGCTTGGGTCATTGCTAAGTCATTGTCTCAACGCAGCCTTATAATGATTTGGGTGGATCCCATCCTCCTTATAAAACATGTTTTGTTTCCAAAAGGTATCGAAATTGTCAACAAAAGTTACGGATAGGACCGTATGATCTGTGTGTGTGTGTGTGTGTGTGTGTAGTGTTACTGAAGCTTGGGCATCTCTTTTCTTCTCTCTTTTCTCGTCCTGTTCTCCCCCTCCTCTCTGACAGTTGTGTGTGTGTGTGTGACGTGTGTGTGTGACGTGTGTGTGTGTGTGTGTGTATAAACTGGGTGTTGATCTCTCAGCAGGGGCTCCCTTATCACAGACAGCAGTAGGAGTCAGACCAGCAGCAGGAGGGATGACTTTACCCTCCATCTTACCCCCTTCCCCTTACTCCACCCCTTCAGAGAGCTTAGAGCTGGATGAAAGCACTTCTGACCATTTAATGTTTGACTGTCCGCTTTTAAACTTGTTTTTGTTCATTTCAACGATGACACTGGATAGCCATAAAGCACATGCAGAGTATGCAAACTTCATATAACCTCTCTCTCTCGTTCTTTCTCTTTATTTCTCTCTCTCTCTCTCTCTCTCTCTCTCTCTCTCTCTCTCTCTCTCTCTCTCTCTCTATATATATA